GTGGTTGGGGGGCCCCTCCCCCCCGCCCCCCCCCCCCCTCTGCCAGTGCTGCGGGGGCTGACGGTGCCGCCGCCGGCGGCCAGGTCCTGCTGTCCAGCTGCTCGCGGTGCCAGGGCTGTGGCGCGCTGGTGTACGACGAGGAGGTGATGGCCGGCTGGACCTCCGACGACTCCAACCTCAACACCACCTGCCCCTTCTGCGGCCGCTCCTTCGTCCCCTTCCTCAGCATCGAGATCCAGGACTTCCAGCTGCCCCCCAGGTGGGACCCCCCGCGTCCCCTGTCCTCCGGGGGAAACCCTAATGTCCCCCATCTTCCCTGGGGTCCCCAGTGTCCCCAGTCCCCCTCTTTGCTCCTCACCAGTGTCCTCCCGTCCTTCTGTCCTCTGGGGGAAAACCCTCACGTCCCACATACTCCCCAGTGTCCCCAGCGCCCCTCTTTGCTGCCCACTGGTGTCCCCTGTCTTGTCCTCGGGAAAAACCTAATGTCCCACCTACTCCCCGCTGTCCCCAGTGTCCCCAACCCCCGTCTTTGCTGCCCACTGGTGTCCCCCATCCTTCCATCCTCTGGGAGAAACCCCAATGTCCACATCCCCCCCAGTGTCCCCAAACCCCCTCTTTGCTGCCCACCATTTCCCCCACCCTCCAGGGGGGGGGGAGCCGGAGCTCTGCAACGGCTGCCCGGACGCGGCGGTACGGTGCCGGGCATGGAGAGGGGAGACAACCGTCCCCACAACGGGGTCCGGGTGTTCCAGCGGTGCGTCCCCCTCTCCCGCAGGTGCCGCGGCGGTCAGAACGGGTGGCTTTCGCCTACCTGAGCCCGTTGGTGCTGCGGAAGGAGCTGGAAAGTTTGGTGGAGAACGAAGGCGGCGAGTTTTTGGCGCAGCCAGAGCTGGTGGACAGCCACCCCATCATCTACTGGAACCTCGTCTGGTACTTCCAGCGCCTGGGGCTGCCCAGCAACCTCCCCCGCCTGCTCCTGGGCTCCCAGCACGTCGCCTCGGCCCCGCAGGTAAAGTTGGGGGGCTCTGGGGGGGGTTGTGGGGGGACCGCCAGCCCGGCGCCCACCTGCCCGTCCCGCAGGCGCAGCCCCCCGACTCCCCCTGCGTGCGCGTGCGGCTGCTTTGGGACGTCCTGGCCCCCGAGCCCGACAGCTGCCCCCCGCTTTACGTCCTCTGGCGGCTTCACAGTGAGTCGGGGGGCAGTGGGGAGGGGGGAACCGGGGTGGCGCCGAGCCCCCCCATCTCCGTTCCCGTCTCCCCAAGGTAACGTCCCCACCCGGCTGCGGTCCTGGCGGCCCCACGGCCACCCCTTCTCGCTGGCCTTCCTGGAGGCCGTGCTGAGCCACGTGGGGCTGAGCGAGGTGCACAAAGCCATCGCGCTCTTCCTCGAGACGCTGGCAGCCCCGGGCGCCCCCCGACACCTGCAGAGGTAGGAGCGGGACCCCCCAAAACCCCCGTCGGCCCCGCGCCGTCCCCCCCTCACCGCTCTGCCCTCCCCAGGAGCATCTACCGGGAAATCCTCTTCCTCACGCTGGCGGCGCTGGGCAGGGACCACATGGATATCGGTACCGGGGGCTCGGGGAGCGGCGGGGGGGGAACTGGGGGGCTTCCCACCGGCAACGCTGATGGTCCATCTGTCTGTCCATCCCCCTCCTCACCTCGCAGCCGCCTTCGACAAGAAATACAAGTCGGCCTATAACAAGCTGGCGGGGAGCCTGGGCAAGGAGGAGCTGCGGCGGCGGCGGGCGCAGCCCCCCAGCTCCAAAGC